GGAGAGACATGTAAATGTACTTTCAAAAAGCAGCCAGTCTGATTCCAGGGCTACCAATAAAATCAAGCTCAATAGCTCAGAGTCCTTGGGTGGCTCTGTGCTGGGAAGGGCACTCCAGTTGTCCTGGCCACTTTGGAGGAAACAGCAAGGACACGATGGTGAACAAAGGATGGAACCTCACTCACCTCACCCTCGCCCTTGGCAGCCAGGTAGTTCATTTCTTCCACATCAACGAGTTTTATCCAATTGCAAGGCATTGGGGCACCAACGTGGCCTGTGTGTGAAGTAAAAGAATGGTTATTCCTGATGGGATTGTACTATCCTTAGGCCAAATTATTTTTATAACAAGAACAGCTGGTATAAACTTCTGGTTTCTGCAATTAGAGCTGGTCTCCCCCATGCAAGTTAATTTAGAGAGTTTACTCCTAGAAGAGAGACCAAAATATTTAAAAGTCTCCCAGGGACCTTTCCCAAGTTTGATGCTCTGAACTGTTTTTCAAAGTAAAAAAAATTTGGCTGCTGATTTTCAGGGTTCCCATGAACACCTGGAAGCAAACTTTCCACAAACGCTTCCCTGGCCCCTCTGGTTTGATGGCCCCTGCCGGTCACTTGCCACCTCTCCCTGATGGAGTCTTCTGAGTGCCCCTATTCTGTGTGCGAAGACTTCTCAATGTCCCTCTTCTCTGCAGGAAGAGAACACAGGCAGCTTGGCCAATCTGGGTTATTCTCTCACACATCTCATGGTTCTGAACACCATGGCCTTCGTTTCCTTTGTGGATGGCCACATTTTAAGTTTAAATTTATTAAGATGGGACGATGCTTCTTTTTATGCGTAACTTAACTGTCTTGCCAAAGGCTCTTAGGATTGGGTTCTTTTCCCAAAGCAAAAATACCAGAAATTAGATGTGTTGCAAAAGCATCGCAAATAATTCTTCCTATGTTTAAATAATTTCAGCTTAAAGAGATCCCTATTCCAAAGTGTTTAGCTGGTAAGGAGCCAGGAATTAAAAATTAAACACACGGAAAAGGTTCAGAGACTGTTAGTGCCCATCCCAGCAGAATTATGCTGGTAGATCATGCTGGATACTCGAGCCTGAGCCAGTACGTAATGCTCATGTTTAGAGCACACCATTCAGACCAGGGCACTGGCTCATTGCAGTGCAGAACGCAGCATGGTGCAGGGGGAGGCCCGTAGGTTTGCAGTCAGGCCTGGGCTGGAACCCTGGCTCCAAAGCATGATGCTCTGTCAATTCTTGTACATTACTTACATGCTTTTTAATCCACAGCCCATCGTTTCCTCTCAGAGCAACAGGATTTATCTCACAGGGACGTTGTCGGGATGAAATGCATGCAATGTACATCTCAGGCCCCTAACAAAGAACCTCACCCCTGACAGGTGCTCAACTCATTATTTTTGTGTTTGTCTCCACTATGTCCTTTTAGCAAAAAGGGCTGGAGTTTATTTCTCTCTGTGGTCTCAGCATCCAGTACAGCACACAGTGTAAAGTTAATTAAAATTCACCAGCAAAACCTTAGACCCCCATCAATGACTGGAAAGCTCCGGTGGGCCAAACACTCTGAGCCTGGTCCAAAGGCATCACCTCTGGCAATGGTCACCTCAGGATCTGGGTGAAGCTCTCCTGCCACCCAGCCTCTGGCTCCCTGATTTACAAGACTGTGTACCCCAGGCATAAGCATCTGGACGCAGCCCTTGTGTTAGTCAGTGAATGAACCAATGAATGATGCACTTGATTCCCATCTGAATAGTGGGATGTCAACGAGGACTGTGCCACCAATCTGCCGTACCTGCTGTCCAGTCGCCAGGTATGGTCAGGGAGCAGCCGGCCGTGCACTCGGTCTGTCCATAGCCTTCATAGAACTGGGTCACCAGGAGATGAAACGTTATTAAACAGGGGACAGTAATTTGCTGGAAGTGTACAGTAATTAAGTTCCCTTAACTCCTGAGTAATAGCCAACTGGGGTGCAACCGCTTTTCATATTTTCTGTTTGGTAAATTAATTCAATAGTACAACACGCTTTATAGCACCCAATCGTCTTCACCCTCACATCAAACCCAGACTCATCCATGTCCACTTTCTACTCAGCATCCTGCGGACAGGTGAGAGAGGACATGACATGGAGGACGGTCCCAGTGTACGCAAGCCGCCCAGGAAGGCACTCGTTCTGCCAGCTCAGGCTACGAACCCACGCGTACTGTGTGTCAGCCGGTCTCTGCTATCTCCCGCCCCCTTGAAGACAGGTTTTCTGCACAGGGTGCAGTTCAGCTGTCACTTACTACCCATCCCACACCCCCATGCCTGACTCCTTGGAGAACACGACACAGTGGTGGACACAAACACGCCTTTCCCTGCCTGGGGTCAGATTTATCTACCTCTTTCTCTAAGCAACCTAGGAATAACACGATCTCCTAAATAAAGGGGTGAGTGAGAGTGACTGTGGAAAGGAGACCCCTGGCCAGGATGAGTCTCAGACCACAGGCTGCGTGGAGCCACTCACCTGACAGCCAAGTGCGGCGCGCAGGAACGTCAGGACGGTGGCGGACACAGGCGCGGCTCCCGTGACCATCAGCCTGACCTTCCCTCCCAGGCTCGACTTGGAAGACAGGAGGGGGGAAGGAGGGTTAAACAGCTGGAGGTCGGTGGTCTCCTCAAGGGCATCCCCTTGGTGCCTGGCTCCCCAGGCCCCAGCTCCTCTGCAGGCCGCACAGAACTTGCCGATGCCCGAGGACTCATGTGTTCCTGAGAAACACCTGGGTGGCGCCTGTTTCCACCTGACACTACCATCTGCTCTTAACTGGTATGGAAATAAGCCAACACCCCCACATGCTGGTATCTTAAGGATTTGTGGCAACTACCACACTCTGGGTATTTTTTTAGACATAAGATTCCTCTTTATCACTCATGCCTAAAAAGTTACCTCAAGAGTGACATTCTTGTTCCAGAAAAGTAAAGCCAAGTGGAGAATTCTGAGAAAGGCTCCAACGTCCTGATTCCTTTTCCGCCCTCAACAGCTACAATGTTACTGCTTTATCCTGGACCCTGAGGCTTACGTAATGGCTTGTCCTGATTTCTTAGAATCATGCCAGCATTAATAAAAACATGGCATTCTCTCTCTTGCCTTCATACCTCCCCCCATAGAAAATCTGAAACCCAAGTTAGCTTCCGTTACAAACAACAGTGTGAGTCTATTTGTCACCTGTATTTTGTGGAAGATCAGCTTATCCCACAGGCTGTTGTTTCTGATGATGCCACTGCGAAGCTCCGCTTCTTTCCTCTTGGAGGCGAAGTCTAGTAGCCACCGCTTCACTGTGGTGTTCGCCTGCCCAAAAATCTAATGGGTTGGGAAATAAGAAGGTTCCACAATTACTAGGGTGGCTGAAATGAAACTGTCTGATACTAACAAATGCGGTGAAGACGTGAGGAAACTGCAGCCCTCACGCCCTGCTGGTGGGAACACAATGTGGGAGAGCTTTAGAAAAGAGAACCGGCAGTTCCTCAAACAGGTAAACTCAGTCATATGACCCAGCAATTCCGCTCCTACATATCTACCTGAAAGAAATGAACACACATATTCACACGGAAACCTGTACATGAACATTCATGGTGGTATTTTTGTAATGGCCAAAAAGCTGAAACAACTCAAATGCCCATCAATGGACAAATGGATGAATGAAACGTGTTATATCCATATAGAGGAATATTATTTGGCTATTAAAAGGAATGAAGTACAGATATATCCTACGACACATTAAGTGAAAGAAGTCAGTCACAAAAGAACACATATCGCATAATTCCATTCGCATCGAAGTCCAGAAGAGGCAAATCTATAGATTCAAAAATAGATTATTTTTTGCTTAGGGGTGAAGGTGGGTAGTAGAGTGGAGTATGAGAGCTAAAGGGTAGGAAAAGAGGTTCTTTTTGAGGTGATAAAAATGTTCTAAAATGGACTGTGGGGATGGTTGTAGAATTCCATGAATGCAATAAAAACCTTTGCACTGAACACTTTAAATGGGTAAATTGTATGAAATGTGAATTATATTTCAATAGAGCTGTTTTTAAAAGTTTTTCTAAAAGAACCATTAAAAAATGAGTTAGTTCTCACAGATAGCAGAAGCCAGGTCTCAAAGTAAAGAGCACGACATTGCCCAGTGCAAATTCACTGTGGAGGTGCTCATGCACAGTGACTTTGCTCTGGCTGTGTGGTCCCCGCTGTCCCGCTGTGATGGTCCCACAGAGGGGCTGGCCTTCTTCATCCCTGGTTTGGCTTAGTCATTTCTCTCAAGGTGCATAGTAAGCAATTTTTTACATTTGCATGGAGCTTTCCAATTATAAAACCATTTCACAGTTATTGTTTTCATATAATGCAAACAGCAACTTTATGAGACAGTCAGCAGGGGAAGGAAGTAACAGTCCCATGTACAAATGAGAAAACAGAGGCTCAGAGAGTTAATGATAAAAATAAAATGACCTCCCACCTACACTTGCATGGTGCCTTCAGGTTTATAAGTATGTTCATGTGTTTTCTCTTATAATCCTAAAAAAACAGCTCTGAGTAAATGTATTCTGGTTTTATAGATGAGTAGACTCTAGCTCCGTGAGACTAAGAGGACTGTACAAGGTCACATAGAGGTGCCTGACCAAGATCGATTCAAACCCGAGTCTCAGACTTGAGGCCCAGTGCTCTGCCCTCTGCTCTGTGCTTGGAACTTACTCTGTCAAACATTCGGTTCAGCAGTCTCGGGACCACAGGAAAAATAGTGGGCTGGAGCACCTTGAGGTCGTCCATAAGCAGCCTGATATCTCCTTGGAAAAATCCTATTTTCGCTCCGTGACACAGCATCACACACTGAAGAGGGAAGCACATGTGAGTAACACTGTAGCAGCACCATGGGGGTTGCACACATACACACACAGACACATACACAGACACAGAGAGACACCCACAGACAAACAGATACACACACAGACACAGACACACACACGAATACACACAGACACACACACAGAAATACACACAGGCACACAGACACACACACAGACACACACACACACACACAGATACACACAGGCTTCAGCTGCAGCATTTCAAGGCAGTTTCCAGAAATCTTAATGTTCCTAAACGTGGGCAGCTTTTTAAAACTGTCCTTGCATTCCTCGGTCATTGTACAACATGGAAATGGGGCATTTCTCTTGATCATCCTAAAGATGAGAACTGAGCCAGAAGCCAGGTATATTGCTTCTGGTGAGGACCAGAGAGGTCCTGCTATTTCAGCTTCATGATAAATAATCTGTTGACTGAATGACGTGGTATTATATAATCCAAATATTTTTAGTCTTCCAGAAACTTCAGGCCTAATTTATTCTCAAAACAAAAACTTAGCTACTTATCTACAGTCCAACCTTATCAAAGTCTCATTTTCTTTTATTTGAATCTAACTAAAAATTTCTGAAAAGTCACTGAGTATGCTGCAGCTGAGACATCTAGCACCAGGACATCTAGCACCAGGACATCTAGCACCAGCATGACTTGTCATTCAGCTATAACCTGCTGCATGAGTATTTCTATGGCGCATGCAAATTGTACTGCAAGCCACATGCACTTGGCAGGTAGTCGGCTGCCTTCAAATTTTAAAAAGAAAGATTCGAAATATGATGCAAAGGCCCCAGACGGGTGGCTCAATTGGCCGGAGGGTCATCCCAGACACCAAAAGGTTGTGGGTTCAATCCCCGGTCGGGGCACGTAGGGGAGGCAACCAATTGATGTTTCTCTCTCTCTCCCCCTTCCTCTCTAAAACATCAATAAACATATTCTCAGGTTAGGATTAATTAAAAAAAAAAAAGATGATGCAACAGAAGTACAAATGGTCTCAAGACTGAATGCAAAAACCACTAGGCAGGCGCTCCAGGGTTCACTGCTCAAAAATGAAAGCTCAGAGGCTTCGTTCAGTGTGGCCTGTCGCCAGGCACACTTCTAAAACCGCCTTCAGGTACAAACGGTCCCTTACGAACTCATCTGACATCACTGACAAGCTCACGAGCTCTCCTGCAGTGTGCAGGAGGCAGAAGAAACGAACAGAAGGTGGGAGCTAAGGATGCTCGGTCCTTAAGGGATGAGTGAGTAACGCCCTCAGGGCAGCAGGCAATCAAATGGGGGACCCGTAGGTAATCACCTCTTTGTTGCCAACACCTAGCACAGCGCGTGGCACCTGATAATAAATGCTTGTGAACGAATGAACGGTGCTCATCTTTCCTATAGATACACAATCCAGAGCTGTCCGAAAAGGAAAGGGGCGGCTCTGGGCTGGTTTTTAAGCTAGTCCCCCGGCTATGCACAGGGAGCCCAGGCACAGGTCAGCTCAAGATCCTGCTGCTTTTCCAAGGTCACTTAGAATTTTGGTGAAAAAGTCTCAAGCCAACTTGTGTACTTATGAACAAGCACAACCAAAAACAGAAGCGTCTCACAGGGCAGGAGCCTTCACAGAGTGGCGTTCATAGAAATTCTACTTCCACAGTTAGTCTTTCTGCAGCCACAGCCATATTCTCATCCTTTAAAAGTCAGAGCTTCTAATTTTAAATGAATGATTAACGTTCAAGTATCCAGACCCAGAAAAAGAATTACACTCTTTTAAATAATTAGCACCACGTCTAAAATGCGGCTCGGCAAAGAACTAAGTATGGGATGGGGGTGTGAGGTCACACTTACCAGCATGAGCTGCTCATACATGTGTGTAAGTGGTAAAAACGAAATGTGTGTGTCACTGGCATTCAGGGTTAGTGCCTTCTGTAAAACACAACAACTTAGAACACAAACAGACAAGCAAGGAAAATAAACTCAGTGCCTTACCTCAACAACTCTTTCAAACATATGGGCAAGAGGCAAGAAAGAGATGAGAGTATCATCTGGGGAGGGACTGACAATGTTCTGTAAGCAAAGACACCAGCAAGGTGGAGAGACGTTAAGATTCCAGTGATTTCCCGCGTCACTGTAGAGCACACGACACCTCAACACTAAGGAGAAAGGCTTCTGCTTACAACCTGTGCTTACTTCTCACCAAGGAATGAAATGAAAAGCAACACTTCAATTACTCAGAGTGGAGGTCACTTCTAATGAGAGTGGATCCACTCAGGACGTTAGCCAAAATAAGAAAAATGTTGCCCAGATTGGGATGTTAAGGGATCGTGTGCTCTAACCATTTAGTATTTCAAGATTACAGTACCCCAGTACCCAGCAAGCTCAAGTCCACCTAAGAGTAAGAACATAAGACCCAGTCCAACACAGACAGCATGTTATATTGTGGAAATATGAGACCCAGTCCAACATAAGACAGCATATTATGCTGTACAGGGAAAGGGGGAAAGAAAATAAGAGAAACTGGATTTCCAAGCTCCTTTTATCTATAGTATAAGTGCATCTGGAGTATTTTAGTTTGATCAGCAGCTTTACCGTAAAGCCCTCCTTTACCCATGAAATATACCCATAAAACACACCCATTTGTTTAATGCAAGTTCTGGTCTGGCACCAGGGATTGATTTCCTATGCAGCGCTGATCCCAATAGGTCTGTGTCTGGATTGAGTCTGGACATCTGGTTTCCATGTCATGGCTCTGCGTGGCCAGCACAGCGGGGATTTACATGGAGTGCTCGTGTCGTTAACATGAATTCTGGCTGAAACAGGGGCTGCCAACAGCAGCTGCTTCACACCAGCAGATAAATGAAGTTGCCAAGGGGGCGGTGCACCCCACTTCTGAGCCCTGCCCTTCCCCTCCCAAAGCTGGGCCGGCCTTCATAATAAGGTGATAATGGGTGACAGCACCAGTCCTGAGCAAGCACAGGAGTCCCAGAGCATGTGACATAGCCTGAACATGCCACAGTCTGAGATTAATTTTATTCAAGAATGACCTGCACGTCAATTTCTGTGGGAAACTGCTATATAATGAGAAATGAGACTCAATCACATTCATAGTCTTCAGTTTTCTAATTGAGTGCCACACATCATACGCATTAGTCTGATTAGAAGTTTTACAAAGTTGAGAATGCACCTGGTAATACAGTATTTTTAAACCAAGTTCTGTAATCATTTGCCTCAATGAGCCACTAATGCATTTGAAGTTTTCTCTGAAGGCCCATGAGAAAATTAAAATTCAGTCTGGTAAGGTACTAAATGTTGACTTCTGCTTAGAAAGTACATACCAGGAACGTTATGTGGGACTCAGCGGGTGTGAGTATAAGTGAAAGATGGACCTTCTGCACCACCAGAGAGGCCCATTCTCCAAAAGCAATAAGCACAGGCTCCTGCCACAAAAGGAACCCTCCCAGAGACCAAGAGACCAAATTACGTAAAATGTGCAAAGGGTATGAGAGAGGGGCTTCGTATTGTCCAATAGCAACTTTCTAAAAGGCAAGTTTGAAATGTACCCTTGGTGTGAGGGACTGCATTGTCATTGTCCCCCCTGTCCCCCAGCCCACCTGCCAAATTCATATGCTGAAGCCCTAACCCAATGTGACCATATTTGGAGATAGGGTCTTTGGGAGGTAATTAAGGTTAAATAAGGTCACAAGGGTGGGACCCTGATCCAAAATGACCAATGACCGGTGTTTTGTAAGAAGAGGAGACCTCTTCTCATCCAGAGACCTCTCTCATCCTCCTTGTGCACAGGAGGGAAGATCAGGGGAGGCTGAGCGAGAAGGTGGCTGTCTACAAGCCAGAAAGAGAGTCCTCACCAGAAACCGAATTTGCTGGCACCTTGATCATGGGCCTCTAGCCTCCAGAACTCTGCTGTTTCAGCCACTTGGGCTGTGCTAATTTGTATGCAGCCACGTAGACTAAGACACTGGGGTAGCAACTGAAGTTCAAGGCCATAGTCCTTCTCATAAAATGGAAGCCAAACCAACCATAACAAATAATAATAACAAAAACCTTCAGCAGCATTTAACATTTCCTTGTCAACTTAAGTTATTTTCCCCACACTGGAACAGGAGGTAGGAGCACAAGAGAGTCATTTCTTCTCTGTCCTTTCCTGGAGATGTGGATAGGGCAGTAGCCAAATAAAGTTTTACTATACAAACATTGTAATAAATTCTCTCTGGCCATTCGCTTAAAGATTAAGGCAAGACTTGGAGAGTAGGCCCACCCTGGGAACTATGTGAGTAAACTGCACTACGGTTCCAGCCTCGTCTGCATTTCAGAGCATTCCAAACACAGCGTGGACCTGGCGTGGTGGGGCTGCCTTCACCCCTTTCATTCCTGAGGCCTAATGCCAACCAATGGATATGAAGAAAAATGGCAACATCCCAAAAGTTTACCTCTGTCACTTTCACAAAAGCTGAGGAGTCGCTCACTACATTTCGATGAGTGATCAATGCTCCTTTGGGGTTGCCTGAGGAACACACATGAGCAGAACAAAGTCAGAGGACAGAAAGTCCATCCAAATGTGACAGACACAAAGGAAGCCCAGAAACCCTAAATAGTTGGGGCCTCAAATGCTTCTAGTGTTAGGTACACCCAGGACAGCCAAATGTTGAGTCACACTAAATTCCTGAGCAATCAAAAATCCTTTAAGCCCAGCTGGCATGGCTCAGCGGTTGAGCATCAACTTAGGATCCAGGAGATCGCAGTTCAATTCCCGGTCAGGGCACATGCCTGGATTTTGGGCTTGATGCTCAGTAGGGGGTGTGCAGGAGGCAGCCAATTAATGTTTCTCTCATGGCTGTTTCCCTCTCCCTTCCTCTCTCTGAAATCAATAAAGACATATTTCTTAAAAAATTAAGTCCTATAAATGAAACTTAGTATCTTAAGCAATCTTTATCAATATGGGAAATTTCAGAGGGTGTGTGGCAATAAGAGAAGAAAAACCAGGAGTTTTTTTTATATTTCTGTAAATCACTGGTACAACTTGTCCCAGGATGATGGATGAAGTGTCATCACAAATAACTGATTGAGGAAATATATGACATTCTCAGGTTCTGAGAATGTCTTACGGACTGACAAGAAGATGGTGTCTGAACCACTTCCGTCTCTTCTGCCTTCAGTCCATCTGCAATTCAAAAAAGTCATCCCAAAAAGGGGGCAGGGAGTACAGGTACCACTTCGAAGCAACTCCATTGCAAAACTTACCTGTAGTTCCACTTGTGAAGCAAATTACTGCAAGATCTTCAGGTGCTGGAGGCTATAGCACATTAAAAAAAAAAAAAAAAAAAAAGGTGGTATAAATCAGAATAGAAAACTGTAAGCCACAAGATATCACCCACATTTCTACTCATCTCCGAGATGGTTAGATACTGGGAAGGACACAGAGGCAGGGCCTGACATAGAGTCTTACCTTGGGCTTCTTTCTGTTGGCTCTTCCCAGGTCCTAATTAGAAGAGAAAAGCATCTTAAATGGACATGTTTTCTAAATGTAAAGAATACATCACATCACTTCAAGCTGACTTTCCTGTGGAGTCAATGATGCTGCTCAAAGACAACACAAATTTCCAATTAAATAAACTATAGCAACTTCAGTGAACCCAGACCGATAAACGTACCCACTGCTCTATCAGCCTTTTCCAGGTGTCTTCTCTCGTATGCAAGGCTACATAAATGGCATTAGGACTGGCCTTTGACCAGGACTTACTCAAAAGACAGGACTCAAAGTGTTCTCTGATGGCTTTCTTTTCCCCACCCCCACTTCCTAGTCTGGCCTTTCATGAAACCCAGCTCTCAACCATCATCAAAGAACTAACTGGGTGCTCAGCACCGTCCCCAAATCAGAGCACAGCGAGATAGCGATCACCCAATTCTGCAGAACTAACACCAATCTGGACGGAAAAGTCTATCTCTGCCTGATTTAAATGCCAGCCATTTTACAGGCTCAAGTGTCTGTACTCCCCACAGGGAGAGGAGAAAGGATCTGGGACCTCCAGTTATAACACAGGCCAGGACAGAAGGCCTATGGCCACTCCTGAATCGACGGAAGGTTAAGAACAATGGATTTATTTTGGAGGGTGCAGCATTTCCCAACAGCTGCTCCCACTAGGACCAAGGGCTCACTGAGATGCTGTTCAGTTTCCTGCACGAAGGCAGTCTCCGTGGCAACTTTAGTATCTATTAATTTTAAAAATGAACTCTTTGTATTATATTCTTTTCTTATTAAAATTGAACAGTTTGAGTGAGCACATGGAGTGAGCACGCCTAGAATGAGTGAAAATTAGATGGTTGTGCTTGGTGCTCAGTAAGTTTCTGTCCAGGGTACAGTTTTCAACAGTTTTTAATCTTTACATTTTAAGTTATATACATAACAGGTCACTGATTAAAAACAGGAACACTAACGTCCAAAATGAAGTCAACTAAGAGCTAAAGCAATAAGAATTCTCTCAATTGTTTTTCAAAATAATCTTTATCAGATTTAAATTCCTACTCATCTATTCAAAATTTTCACACTTCTTGAGATCTCTAATTCTTCAAAAATTGATATTAAATCTAATAAAGTAGTAGGATATGCAACTTAGCTTTCAATTTATTGGGAACTGTGGTAGGCAGTTAGATAGGAGCAGAGAAAGGACGATGGGCCAGGTACAGAAGGTCACCAGAGCGGAAAACCCTCCAGGTGCCCAGCAGTGGACAATTCCCTGACTTTTCCTAGCCTAGAGATAACATCTAGGCCTCAGTTGTATTTCAGCTCCAGGCCCAGAAAAGCAATAAAACCAGACAAGTGATGCTTGGACCAGCTGCAAGGACTAATGACCCTCTCCCTGGCACCCAGCAATCAGGAGAGACCACAACCCTGAAAGGACACACCTGAAAGGCTGATGGGCATTCTACTGAGATCCTCCTCTGGCACCTCCCCTGAAATCCCCACCCTTACAAGCTTTTAGGATGGTGGACCCAGTTCTCTGTCCCCTCCCAGGATCATGCCCTCGCCTTTCCCCTCCCACTCATCTTCTTCCCCCCAGACCCTTTAACTTTACCTTTCTCTCTCCTAAGCTCCAAGGGCCCTTCTTTTGCCTCTGTAACTTGTTTCCTGAACCCATTTCTTCTACCGCTGTGATTTTTCTAAATAAATGTTCCTTTATCGTCTGAGTCTTGCCTCTGAATTCTTTCCTAGCCAGAACTCAAGTACCAAGGCTGCTGAACCCAGGTCCAGGCTGACCCCACTGGTACAATATCTGGTGTCATTCTCTCTGCTGCCAACAGAACGTTATCCAAATGAGGACACTATTTGCCAAGAACATTTCACTGCCTAAAACCTGTCTTATGTCATCATTTTAGAAAAAAGTACAGTAATCATAAAAATAAACAAGTTGCCATCTTTAGGTTCCAAATGCCAAAGAAAGAACCATACATATAAGAAACATTGAATTCTAGTTAATGATTAGCACGCTGCAGTACTCAAGGATAATAAAATCTACAACCTACTGAAAATGTATTAAATTAAAGATAGGCTGATGAATGAATAGAGGGATAGAGTGAGGGACTAATATGTGATTAAGCAAATACATTAAAATGTTAATTGTAGACTCTTGGTGGGTACATAACCATCTACAGTACTATTCTTTCAACTTGTTTTCATGTTTTAAAGTTTTTATAGTAAAATATTGGGAAAAATGCAAAAATTCCAAATACCAATATTTCCATTTTTGATCCCCATAAATATATAGTAATATAAAACAGATCCCAAGATTAACTACAAAGCTAACTTTAAATAAGTTTGCATGGTGACAGATGATTACTTCAGTTAGTGGGGTGACCACATGGTAAGGTGTAAAAATGTCGAATCACTATATTTTACACCTGAAACTAATATGATATAATGCTGAATACAAACTATACTTAACTTTAAAAAAGATAAGGCAACAGTGAAATCAACAGAGATGTGAAGCGTCAACTAGAGATATACGTAATAACTTTTATAATAAACATAAGCTTTTACAAGGCCAAAAACCCCATTTCTTAAAACCTTAATCTTTTGCTTATAAAATGTTTAAAAACAAAATATGAATCACTACACAGGTAAGTATAAAGCAACGTCTTTTATAAATAAAAAATTTAATATAAACTTTATCTTATAATCTCATTCACTCATCTAAATTTTTTAATCTTAAAATTATTTATCATGAAGTAGTCAAAAAAGAAAAAAAATTCTGTGTGCATGTGTGTGTTGGGGGGTGGTTAGGAAGAAGGAGGAAAGATGGGGAACGAGAGATGACATTGTGAAAGGGGATTACAAGTGAAAAAGCCCGACAACGTAAAACCCAGTTTAACAATACAGCACATCCATTAGCTCTTATGGACTCATGCTCTATGCAGCTGTGTGTGTGAGTGTATGTGTGAAAGTGTGTGTGTGTCTGTGAGTGTGCATATGTATATGTCTGTGAGGAAGGCAGAAGGCTCTGCTACAACAAATGTCAGTTTCCCTATTTATAGCCTCAAATGCTTTATAGGAAACTATAAATAAATTTTAAACCCTATTTATAACAGGTCCAGAAAAACACATAAGGTTTGCAGAAAGGGAACTGCTGACTCTACTCAGCCTATTACTTGCTATGTTGTGTACATGCAAGGTCCTCCTCCTGCCAGCTCCTTGGGACTGAACCCTAATCCAGAGCCAAGGGGGAAAATCAGCTTCTTACGTGAGCTGATGCCCAACAGTCAATTTCAATATGAGCCACATTCATTTTCCTACAATGTTTACCTTTAAGGTTGTGATGAAGGTGAATCTGAAGAAATTTTACATGAAAATAAACCAAATCAAACATCCCTGCTGGAAAGTTCACCAGGCCTCCACAAAAGCAATTTGGGGAAAAAGGCTAAGGAGGCAGATGTCCATACCTGGCTCCGTTTTAGACACAAATCAGTAAGTAAGCGGCATTAAAGCCTAGATCTTTGCCTGAATCTGAAGTTCATGTTTCCAGCATTTGTTGGCATGGCTGTCAGGGCTCCAGAATAAATAGGTGTGCAGTGCAACTCGCTTTAGGAGAGGACTGTCTGGAAGGTGAGATGCATTAACTCTGGGCATGCACGTGGAACTCTTTGCATATGAGACAGGAGTTTCTGCTCCGTGTCTTCCATGGGTTGGGAGACAGCCAGGGAGGGATGAGACACGGTAGTCACACTGGATACCATATTCTGAGCCAGATAACCTCAGGGAAACCCCCTCAGAAGCGGGCAGGGTGGAAGGACTCACCTCCATGGCCTTCATGCTGAGGATTTCCACCCCACATTTCTTGCCTCGTTCCACCAGATCGCTGCCATAGGAGTCCATGAGAACTACCATTTTAAGGACTGGTGTCAACTTATTTTCTACACCATCTAATAGCAAGTTGGCCTTCTCTGGCTTGTCAACAAAAACCAGGGAGAGTTCAGCTGGAAATGAAGAGATACAGTGAGCAAGATGCTCTGGAATATTGAGAGCTTGACTGTATAAATTTTTAAATTTTAAGGTTATTTTAAGTACCACATTTTTAAAATAGAAAGGTAGATGTACATTTAAATATAAAATCCCTATCAAATCAAATATAAGCAAATACAAATCACTGAATCTAACCAACAGTGAGGCCACCGTCCCCCAAAGGCCATGGACGTACCATTGTTGACTATGTAAGTGATTGCTTCGGCTCCAAGGGTGTCGTAGAGGGGAACGATCACCATCGAGTAAGCGAAGCATCCCTGTTCAATGATCACCCACTAGACACACAGTAAGAAAGGGTCAAGGAGAGAGAGCGACATGTCATCAGGGAACCACTCCCTGGGGACCAACACTAGATTTAAAGTGGAAACACTTGATGTAGCCAAATTACCCTCTGCACATCTACTACTACACACTAGGCACTGTGAGGGATTCTTAAGGACAAAATACCAGCCCCTTCTTAAAAGGAAGTGCGACCTACCAGAAGAACCCAGGCAACTGTGAAGATAGTCAACAATACAAGTTAGTGACTGATCCACAGCCCTGATGGCCACCTTTGGGGGGAGGTGAATGAGCTGCCCCTTACAAGAGCGCACAATTTGGAAAGATAAAGGCAAGGAGACCTCAAGAGTGGGGACTGCGCTGGCCGGTGTGGCTCAGTGGCTGAGTGTTGATCCATGAACCAGGAGGTTGTGGTTCGATCCCAGGTCAGGGCACATGCCCAGGTTGCGGTCTCGATTCCCAGGAGTTAGGCCCAACCTCCCTGAGCAGGCACAGGGGTACATGTGGTCCTCTCTTCCCTGCCACTTCTCCTGCGACTCCAAGCTCTCCCCCCCATACATATGCTGCTTGGTGAGAACATTTCTTTGGCTTCCCCACCCTCACTTCTGTCAAGATTCTACTCAACTGCCATCTCCAAGAAGTCCTCCCTTGACTGAGTTCCCATAATCCTCTTGCCTCTGTCCACATTTAGTATGTTACAGAGAAAGCATCAGTTTCGGGGGGTTATTTTGGGGGGCTCAGTACCTCAGAGAGAAGATCCAAGTCACTGTTGTACTTTGGTGACTTGCACAGTGCCTGGCACATAGTAGGTGCTCAATAAACACTTGTTGAACTAACTCATAAATAGAGGAAGGAAACTACTCCTTAAAGTAAGGAATATGTGTCCTAATTGTAGATTCCTTAGAAAATTTCCCTAAAACAAAACTTTTGGGTATGTTCATTTGAACAGGTTTCACTTCTAATGAAAGAAATTAAATTCCATGAGCCTGGAAACGGCCCAGCTGTGGAAAATGCTGTTTTTCTCCTTAGCAGGAGGTAAAACACTAAGACACCGTTCTAATTTATAAAATAGTCAGCAGCACATGGACTGAGTGAACACACCTTCTAGACACAAATACATCTAAGAATCAATTCTATTTCTTCAGCCAGGTGCTTGAACTTTCCGAGCCAGCTCTGCCCCTGATTTGCTCACTGACCCCATGAGCAATGCCCCCAAAGAGCTTCTCACTTCAATTTACTCTCATCTATGGGTTTACAGAAGCACCATGCCTGGGCCTAGGTAGCAAAGTAACAGACTGTGAGACTAAATTAAGGCTGGGCCAGATTGAGGACTTTCCCTGTTGTCAGTGGCATTTTAAACTTTGTAAACTAATCAATGGGAAAAATGAAACCTTTCAGAAAGAAAATATGAGTTTGCTACTGACAAAACTGCATCCCAATGTCTCTGTAAGCCATTAACACTTTTTTTCTAAACACAGAAGACTCTTTTGTTAGTTATCTATTGTAAGGATTTTGTTTGGGCATCTGGTTTAAAAAAACAAAACCAATAATTTTAAAAAAGTTATTCCCCCCCACCACCTAAAGGCTAAGCAGGCCCTGGTTTGGGTTTTACATGTGTAACTTTCTAAGGTGCAACCGAAGCCACATTCTCAGTACAAATCAAACCACAGATCTTGTCTGAGAGGTGGGTATGAGCCTGAGTGGCCCTTCCCTCTGAGAAGGCTCAAAGCTACGGACACTCGGGTCTGACGGGTGTTACCTCAGGTCTGTTCTGAGCAAAGATGCCGATGAACTGGTCGGGGGAAGCCTTGAAGCCCTTCTGGAGCAGCGCCGAGCCCACACACTCCGACATTTCCTCAACCTGAAGTGGGAGCAAAACCAGGGGCAGCATCAGGCCCTACTCCAGGAACGGAGCTCACAGGTGAGTGGAAGCAGCACTGCGCAGAGGAGGGGCATGGGAGCGGACGGGCGCCTTTGGGGGCACATTCTGAACAACACAGTTTTCCTCGCTGGGTGGTTAAATACATGATGGCAAATGTCTGGGAAAATGCCACATAGTGAGTACATATTACAGTTATGAAAGCCGTACCAAACTTAGAATATGTGTAACAACTTTAAGTAAAAAAAATACAAAAACACATACTATTATTAGAACCAAGTAAAAATAGGTAGATATATAAAAATTAGGCAGGACTATATACTTGCCCCCATCTTCTCCCCATTCCCATCCCAAATTAACTAAAAAAAGCTTTTTAAATATTAAAAATTGGGATTCTTTATTTTCAGTTGGTGGATTCTCAGGAGCGCCCTGAACTCCCACACACACACACACACACTGGAGGTAGAGCCACACCTAATCCTGCCTCCGAACTGGTTGGTTCTCACACATACGGCCATCCTGTCTCTGCCGATGGGTGTGGAGTATGAGCTGACAATGCTGAGTGACAGAGGGTAACATTAGGATGCCAATGACTGTCACACCCTGTGGGCTGTTTCACAACCACAGCTGGCACTAAGGGATGGGAGCCTTGCCTGCAGTGTTTGCAGAGCTCCCTGGGGTAACATGCGCATTTCTACCTCTAGAAAGAGAGTCTGCACCTTCCTTCAAACAGGGCTGCTGGCCCCCAAAGGTCAGAATCACTGGGATAGTGAAGAAAAAAAAAAGACTGAAATGTACAAATCCAAAGTTGGCGTCAAGTGAGCCCAGTTTTTACGTTCACAGTCTGACGAATAGGTACAACACATAGATTAGCACCTTTAGAAACCCCAGTGATCTTCAATCTGCTCTGAAAAATCTAACCTGCAATGGTAGGTGTTCTCTCTTCCCGCTGACATCCAGCAGAAATAACATGGGAAAATGTACGTGATGCAACGCAGGCAATCCAGAAAGCGCTTGAGGATTCTGTGAGGCCCTGAGACCACTGTGCAATTCTGGGTGTGCAACACACACAGTCTTTACACCACACGCAAAAAGGAGGGGCCTTGAAAACTACTATTTGAACACTTACTGGTTCAGTAGGGCCAAATAAAAACAGCGAAATCCATACAGTCACCTGAACGACAGCTCGTCACCCCTACAAGCAAGGTACCCCAACTCTGCCTCTCTGCGCCCGCCCCGGGGAGATACCCCAGAAAATCTTTGGCAATTTGCGGGTCCTCAGATGAGGGAAGGGAGGAAAGTGCGCGTGTTGGTCTAGGGGGACATAAAGCTTGACTCCTGAGCTGGCTTTGTGGCTCCTGATGACAATCCCTTCCCATACACACCCCGGAACACATTAACTATGAACCCCCCGTCCACACAAAGCCTGGAAGGAGGAAGCGCACGTGTGTTCTGGGTGCCCGCCCCCGGAGCAGGGAGCCACTTCCCCAACAGCTGTGCCGGGGACAAAGGCAGGGAGGCTGCCGTCCAGCTGCTCCTGCTGTATTGTAATCAAGAGCAAAATAAAAATAACAGCAGTGTCTTCCTGCTCTGCTACCTGCCCTTCACAAACCGCTACTTAAACAGCTAAGGCCATGGATGAGTTGGGGCTGCAGAGGGACAAGAGTGAGAACACCCAGATCCCAGCTTCCCCTGTACTTATGATGAACATAGATATCATCTCTGAACATCTGTGCTGATGTTGATGGCTGCCCCAGGGTTAAACGTCACAGCGGTCCCAAGCTAGTTGTGCCGCACTGAACAGTTCTACACCAGATGGCACACTCCGCACTGTGTTCTGCCACTCCGTCCTGGTTCTGGCACTAACCAGCTGTTACCGTGGGTGGCCCCATCCCTTTCTGGGACCCATCTGCCTCATCTATAAAATGAGAGGGTTACTCTACATTGAGGCTTCTCAATCTTTTTAGAACCTCTCACAGCAGAGGGGAGTAATCTTATCCCTCCACGGGTCTGGGAGGAAAGTTACCTGCTTCAAGCACATTTCTAGAATTTTATCTTCAAAATTGTATTACTGCACAATGCATCCACAATAGTTCCAAAATAAAGTGCTTAGGGCCCTGGCCAGGTAGCTCAGTTGGTTGAAGCGTCATTCTGATTCACCAAGGTTGCAGGTTCGATCTCTGGTCAGGGCACATACAAGAATCAACCAACGAGTGCATGAATCAATGGAACAACAAATTGATGTTTCTCTCTCTCTCCCTTCCTCTCTCTCCCCCCTCTTCCCCTCTTTCTAAAAATCAATCAATCAATCAATCATCAATCAATAAAAACAAAATAAAGTCCTTTGAACTACCAGCTAAATCACTTCCCTAGTTTTCCCTAAATCTTTGTGTCGGATTTCTCCATCCAGATGCTGCACATTTATCCTAAAGCTCTGAGCTAGTCAGGCACATACATTCTCAGGGACCTTCCTGCCCAAACATTCAATGGCTCCAAGAACTGACAAACTGAACAATACAGCACTAGCCATGCACAGAACGAGCAAACTCACCTGCTTGTAGGAAAGCCATTCGTAGGGCTGGTCTGGTTTCCGAGAGCCCAAGCAAGGGCCATTATCTAAAAAGGAAACAGCAAAGAATGGGTGTAACACGCATAAACATCGCAATTTGTATTCTGCCTCATTCTACAAAGTGTCAGGTGGACTCCAACGGTCCTCAGATTAGACACAATGAGTTCAGATTGGAAATAATTTTCCCTTGGTTTGACTTTTTGCTTGTTTATTTATTTCCATTTTGTTTCTTAAATGGGGCCGGAGAAGAGGGGAATGAGAGAAGGCAAATGCAAAATTTAAGAAGTGTCAGAGTGTGTCCTGATTCCAACTGAGGTACCTAATAGGCAGGAAGAAAAAAACCCCGTATTAATTATATTAATTATTCACACTAAAGGTTAGTGCAGTAATAAATAAAACCCAAATCATTGGCATTTGGACTTATACAAGTTCCTTTCTACAGATCAATCCCAAGTGAACTTCATGCTCAGTTAGTAGTTGTTGAAGGGAAAAGGTATGTTCACCTGGGGGAAAAAAGCTGCCATGTCTAGACGATCAGAGTTGACCACACACAGGGATGCCTCCTAACTAGAAACAAGGGCTCTACCACCAGCTCTGTATCTGCTGGGCCTGCATAGCTCCTTCTAC